GGGCTCCTTGGAATAATGATGTCAATCAGGGGGAGGAGATTTGACTTTAAGTGCTGAAATGGGAATAACTGGGATGAATTTCTGCTTAATGCTTATAGCATTAGTGTACAGGCTATCACTCACATGGTACTGAGATTCAACACAACACTAGGTGTTGTTTCCTCATCAACAGCCTTAAAATCTGTTACCCTTTCCTGTTCAGACATTGATGGCCAATAGGATGGCCACCCTGATTACACAAAACAGAGGCTTTTAGACAGGTATTCCACTTCCAATAATTTAATTAAATAGCTGCAGATGGATGTCTTGTAAGCAACATTTGTAAAACAAATACATTCAAAGTGTCAACTTAATGAAAACACGCACTATTAAGAAATGAAAAAATGAAATGTTAAAGTGATAAATAAAAAGGTATTTTTGACCCACTTCCATTCATTTTCAAACTTAAGTACATACAAGTATTCTGATTTAAGTAAGATACATTATCAGATCTGTAACATTTGTTAAACTGTATGATATTATGTGATTGTGAAATATGGCAGGAAAGTACCATTTCTTGTGTGTGCCACTGACTGGAATACTGTAACAAAAAGTGTTGGATGAAGTGATATGAATCACAGTACACTGCATTGTACATCCATGTCATCTGCAAGATGTGAGTGCAGTGTATTAAAGACCTCTGAGCGCTGAATGGCCTGTTCCTAGGCTAATGTGGTCATGACAAACGGTTGTTGTTTGCCCTTGTTGCATGACCTCTCATAAGATCCCTCATAGTCTTTATTGACTTACCTGTATCATCTTTGTGAACATTCTAGGATGTATGAAACGTAGAGATATTTAGTTATGGTATATTAACTCTCATAAGTATTAGTAATATCAATATTTTCATTTGTGTTGCTACTTGTATTTGTTTTACTTGTTGTGGATCGAAAGTTCCACAGATCTTGTCTCTTTTCCATTTCATCACTTTGCATCAGGTTGCAAACCTCTGGTTTGATTGGAGGCTTACCTGTCAATTAAGAGGAGCAAGGGCTTAGAGTATTTAAACTGGCCCACACTGTGGCACTGTGGAATAGTTAGTCTTGTTTTAGTCTTTTTGTTGAATGTATCATTGTGTATGTGCTGTAACACAGCTTGGTTTATAGTAGGATAATAATACCCTTATAAACTGTTAGTGTGAGATTCTCCAGAGAAACTGCAGTTTATTGTTTTTGTAGAGTGTTCTACTTTTGTAAGTATTTTTCCAAATGTCCTGAATAGCAAACAGTAACTAGTTTTGCACTTTGTTTTATAGCCAAGCCTAGTTTTCACAACTTCTGCGACTGCTCCTGGAGTTACCACCTGGCGGCTTAGTCACAACCTTTCTGTTTTGTTCACCACTTTGACATCACAATTGGTTTGCTATTCTTTCTGTCATCAGCAATACCAAACCACTTATAAGTGAAAAAAGGCAGGAGCTGTGAATGAAAGTATTTATGTAAGCTTTCTGTAAAATCTATCAAATTTATAGTATTTCAAAAGGAAATGGGTTGGAGACATGGGTTGTTTTTTAAATTTCAAACATCAGAGTTTGTGGTAAATACAATTGTAGTCAGTACATGGAAAAACGGGATATTCTGGGTAAATGATGCAAACTCCATGTGTATTATGAATTTGTGAATTATTTTAATTGAAGTACTGAAAGTTAAGCATGCTATAGTTTCCAAAAAGAACAGGTGATATTAATTTCCAGACAGTGGCAGACAGGTGCTGCCTTTTAATTGGTGATGTTTATTTCAGTTTATGCAGTGACTGAGGCACAGTAATAGAATGATATAAACTTGTTTGTGTTAAAATCCCCTAAATACTCCAAAACACCAGCCTCAGGGTTTCTAGGCATCAATTTACAAACACATCATTATTTTTTTCATATTTACGATACACATAACATAGGAAAAATAAGAGAAATTAAGCTGAAAAGGCAATAACTGATTCAATGTTTTAGATAGGTTTTGATTTTTGTTTGTTCTGACTTTTAAACAATACATGGCATATAACTATAAATACAGAGGAAAAAGAAGAAAAATACACTTTATGCATTGAACAACAAATTACACCATCTCAGATCTTGAAAAAGACAAATGACCCCCGTGGAAGTAATACACAACTAAAACTCCATATTTAGTCCTTAACCTGCAGAAACATATACAAAGAATATATTTTTTGTTCTGTAAAAAGAAATCGTGTCTTTCTATAAGCTATAAAAATTCTTAGTGTTCATTGAATTAAAGTTGTTTGAGGACAATGCACTCTCCTAAGTCACAGAAAGAAACCTGCCACCTGTTTTAGAATAAGTTCATTTATTTGAGTCTAAAACCTGTAATTGGCTCAATACAATTTAATTTAATACAGGACAGTATTTTGTTGCGTCACAATTCTGCAGGAATATAAGGTTGAAATTTGAAGCATTTAAATGCCACTAGGTGGCACTCTTGGTTAAGAATGGAACGTGAACTCTGTCGACTTGTCATGCACTGTTGCGAGAGAACATATTTACTTGCTAGTGCAGCCACAGGATCAATAAAAGTCATTATAGACCTTTCAGCATGTGCAGCGAGATACTACAGGAGACCCAGTCTAGGAAATGCACAATAGAAAAGGCACATAACCAGGTAATGAGTTTAGACTCTAGAGCATATGTAGTATATGCACACAATCATTGTCCCCTAACCCCCTTTAAAACTCAAATACATACTGCACAACTTAACCTTGTTGAGGAATATATAAAAAATAGACACAATGAGAAAGAAGTTTAGAAATAATATTATTGTATTAAAAAGTTTTAGTTTTTATTTCAGTTTATAACAAGAAAAAGAATTGAATTCTTAAATAAATACAGAAAGAAATGTCAAATATAGTGCACACAAAGGAACCCCATTTACATTTAAGTGCTCACTGGAAGGTCCTGACTGGCCAAAAAAGTCAGATTTCAACACCTGACTAGGCCTGTCCATCCCAGCAGCTGCGACAGAGGAAGTCTATGGTGAGGACACAGAGGAGACATGGAACAATGTCTTCTGCCTGTGCCTGCCACTCTAGCTTGATCACATCTTAAATTCAGCCTGAATCAATCACCTACATCCAGCACTTCAGAATGATCAAAACGTCCTGTATAATACAAATGGGAGACATATCCTTCTCAGTGCCACTCATCCTCAAGGACGAGCCTCTGTCCTTCCCATCAGCCTCAGAAACCATGTGTCTTATGATTGCAGGATAGAATGGAGTCAATTATCTCCAGCAAAGTGACTGAGAATAAGAGTCACTACCATTCACCCCTGAACAGCGTAGGCCCAGCAGGTGCACTTGACACTCTACACACCAAAGAAGTTAAACATGTTCAACTGACAGCAACTGTCAGTTTTGGAGCAGAAAAAAAAAGAATGCAGATCATTTCTATCAGTATTTTTGAAGTGTCCAGTACAACAAATTAATTCGGATCATTCTACAGCTGAGGTTTGGAAAAGTACCGAGCATTTTTTTTATTTGAATCATTGTTAAAATATTGATTAACTTCTTCTCATTTTAGGATTTGCATATTGTGTATTGTTTCTATTCATGGTGGAACACATACAGTAAATTATTATTTTTTATTTGAAATGATTAATATCCATGATCTATTTTCTTACTGCTTCATCCAATTCAGTGTCATGGCAGAACTGGAGCCTATCCTGGTCAGCAAAGTGTACACCCTAGAGGGGACGCCAGTCCATCACAGAATACACACAGCAGGCCAGTACTCTCAAAAGCCAATTAACTTACCAGTGTCTCTTTGGACTGTGAGAGAAAACCGGAGTATCCAGAACAAACCCACACAAACACTGAAAGAACACACAAATTCCATGCAGATAACACCACAAGTCCAGAATTGAGCTAATGCCTCAGCACTTTGAGGCAGCAAAGCTAACCATTGTGCCATCATGCTGCCAATTATTAACATATTAACCAAAATTAATACATATAGCGCCCTACAGATTTATTCATAATCTTGATGAAATTGGAACAAAAAAGCAACAACATATGACAGAATATTATTTAATCAGATAATGTATATTAAATAATTTAAGAAAGTTATACTGTATTCATAATAGCATTGCACAAACAAAGTTGTATTTGGGATAAATAATTAATTCCAGAACAACAACAAATCACATCTACAATAACATTCTGCTCTTTGTAAGTGCAACCATATAAATGTCACTGTAGTTTAATTAGTTTTAAAATAAACATACCAAGACAATAATCTATGTTTTTGTTTTTGAAGCCTTCAAAATGTAAACTGAGTATAGATAGATTTTATTTAATGTGTATAGCTAAAAATGATAAGCCCATAATTAAACATATTATAGATCAATATACAGTTGTCCACGTAACTTCAGTAAAGCACTTCTGTTAAATCGAACAGGTTTTAAAAATGCAGGTTTAGCAGTAGGACAATATTAATCGAGGTATTTTCTTAACTATTTGATGTAAGATGTTCTATTTTATTGTTTTTTCCTAACTTTCTGTAGAAATTTAATAAATCGATGGAGATCAATAGACTCACAAGGCAAAAAAAACAGTTACTTTAAGTCTTATTTTCTGTTATGAAGTATCACTTCGATACAGATATCTAACAACAACAAAAAACACTAAATACCACTATTCACTTACATTTGTATTACCACTTCTCCTTAAAATCTTTGTTTTTAATGGAAATTTTGTTTTAATCCTTGAACATCACCATATATCAGCTAATTAAAAATTGAGGAATTATCAGCAAGCGTTAACAGACATTTAAAAGCCTAATACATCTGTAGTGTATTAATTAATGTTGTTTTTACTTACAGAGATAGAAACTTTCCCTTTAATTGTAGTTTAAACCATGCACAATCATTTGTATGGCATACACAGTCACCGACTCATGAAGAGAGGTCAATAACAGAATGCTAAACAGACTTTTAACAAACACACAAATGTTTTTTTTTTAATTGAGAGACAGTTCTGCGTTGTGGATTACAACAGGGGAACTGCACGAGATAAATGCTATTATTTGGCCTCCTGGTTCAGAAAGTTAATTGCTTTCATTTCTGTTGCATTTTTCATCCCAAAGCACTAAACATACAAGGAAGAGATCTACTTTATCCACCTCTCATATGGGTGATGCGTGGCAGCCATTAAACAACAGCAGCTCACCACAGATATGATGTAAAGGTAAGAAAATACTTTACATTCTGAATTAAGGGGGAATTCTGGGAAAGGTCATATTGTGCATGTCTGAAGTGGAATTAAGCAAATATATCAGTGTAAACATCTCTACTCTTAAGGACAGTGTCATCTGGGATCTTTACTGACTGCGTAGTAATTAATTTAGTCTCATCTGAAGGATTACACTTCTTACAGTACTATGTCCCTTGTCAACATACAGGGGCACAAGCTTGGAATTTATTATCTAGAGAGGAGAGTGCTGCCTTCCAGTCCACCAACAGCACATAAAGCAGCAACCTGGTTTTCCTAGTTCTCCCTAATTGTCTGAGGTCCCACCTAACTTTGCTTCTGAGATCTGTCAAATTCAAGCTACAATGTGGAAACTCTGCTTTTCAAAGGTTGGTAAGGACTTTACATGTAAATCAGCAGTTAAGGGCTTAAGTATTGGCACACTGTGTCTTCAATTATTTTATTCTTTACTTTTTAACTACTACTTGCCACTTAGAACTGATGTTAAAAAAATAGAAGCAGTATAATCACAAATGTTTTGAAAACTGAAGCCAGAAATAATGAAGACCCTTAATCTAAAAATCCCTTAATCCACAACATTTTAAAAATAAAAATAACTAAATAAGGTTTAGCATATCTCATACTGAATAAATAAATGTAGTTATTCTAATTACACCATAGAAGACAGCTGATAAGGTGTTGTGCTCTCATTTTGAGCAACATGTGCTATTTCAGTGTACCCTGCTATTTGAGACTGTAGTGGGATTTGTGGTCAACTGATAAAAAAGACAGCTGTGTAAAATTAAAAATTAAGAAATTCTTCCTAAAAACCTCCCAGCAGTGGGTAAACATCACATCCAGTTAGTGTGCAGTGAGCGCAGTTTTAGTAAATCATAAATAGCTTGTCTGGAGTGAAAGACACAAATCCCTTAAACTCCCCTGGACCATGGCTGGTGATTCTTTGAAAATGACCAGTAGTTCATGACCAGAGTGGAAAAATATCTCATAAAAATCATTTGTTTGTTAGAACACAATGGAATTTACTTGTGTCTCATTAAATATTTATGTCATCTGCAGTTGTTTTTTAGTGACAATGTTATATTTCATGCAACAGAGTCAACAGAACACTTTCATACAGTATACTTTTACGTTAGGCAGTAGCTTGGGAGGTTCAGGACTAATTACAAATGAACAGTGGTGTCTTGAGAAAACTGTGAAGGACCTGTTTTCCAGCACACGCACAAAAAAAACAGCCTTTTCTAAGGATCCTTTCCAGAACTTTAGTTTTGCTAGAATACTCAGTTGCATGTTAAATAACTAACTGGGATTCTCCTCTCCTCAATGGCTGCTATGCAGCAGGTTTCCTAAATCGTTTTAAATCAAGGGATTAAAGAAGCATTAGTTCATTTTGCCTGACTTGGATGAATTTAGCCTCTTCAGCTTTCTTCTTAGGTTGAAAGCTGATGATTAGTCAAAGAGGATCTGGAAAATGTGCCAGATTTGGCATTCAAGGACTGTGTGGTTGTGAGCTCTGGTTTAAGCAAAAATAAAAGTTAAAAACATGTTCAACAACTTTATTTAACATATGTATCTGGGCCTCAAAGAGAACATCAACTGTTCTTTATAAAGGAATAAACCACAAAAGAAAAATGAAAATACCATTAATCTTGTGGTCTTGTGCTTTTTTAGGGCAATAACAAAGAGGAAAGTTTGCTGGAGAAACAATAATGACGTCAAGGTCAAGGCCACTGCTTATATTGGAAAAGCGCTGGGTACTACCTGAAAACAAACTCATCCATTAGTATCGCATTTGCATTTTCCTGTCAGTCAGGCAGCTCCATTATGGAGGGATGATTGTACAATGCTTTGCAAACCTTAAAAAGCAATACATGCTGTTGCACTCATCTGTGGCATTTTCAGGACAAGGGAGTTTTCTGAATAAACAAAAGGATGGCTCTGTACTAGAAGGTGCTTAAAATGAAATTAAATAATTTGTTCATCTGATGAATCTGTAGAACGGAGAGGAAAAGAACAGGAAAGGCATGGTCCTTAAATTGTCAGACATTATGCTACTTTTTCAAATCAAATTGTAATACCCAATCTGTAATGGATTTCTAAAATAATAGAATAGAAGTGGTATTTTAACCAATAACTAATTGCTGTAGAGAAAAAACAAAAGTAGGGTTCATAGATTTACAGAAAATGACAATTAGTCCTTATGCATAAAGATAGAGCCGTCATGCTGAATTTAAAAAATTAGAGAACCATAGCCAAATAATGTTTTGAAACTCGAAGGAACTGTTCAAACTGTGATGTATCTGTTTATGGAAGCAAGCAATATATTGGATCTGATAGAACCTTAAATACAGCCATTTTCTGACTGTGCATATCTTTCTGGGACTATTCTTACTGTGTTAGTTATTGATAACCATTAACTATTGATAACTAAGTGCCTAAATGCTGATTTGAGTGGTTAGAAAAGTGCCCGGCTGAGAGGAGATCTCCCTTTAGCTTAGCTGGCTGGTTCCCTGTTGAGTTATGCCAGAGGCCTGGGTTCGAGCCCGAGCACTAGAGAGCCGACTTGAGGTGGGAGCAGCGAGGCCGCATACCCACGTGAACCTGAAAGTGCCACAATATCATATGTAAGCCTCTGTTTTTGCATTTGTCTTGCATATCCCCCTACCACCCCATCTCTACCTTTGCAGCTACTCCTTAGTTTATTCTGCTCTCAATATGGGGGTCCCTGCCTTCTCATCCTATGGCCAGGGGGCTGGCCCTCAGCTATGTGGATTAAATCTCATTATTCACAAGCACTCAATAAACATCCCCAATCGTGAGTAATTCACTGGTATTATGCATTGTGAATTAGGATTTAAAGCAAGCTTAATTATATTATGTTAATTTACTTCCCTTTTTCTGTTTATCCATGTGATCATCAAATCTGGATGTTCTCAGTCTAGTTGTTTTGTTCCATCTGAACTTTTCATTACTTGGAAATGTTCATTACCCCTTATTTAAGGGGTTAACTGAACCCCTTAAGGGAACTGCATTCTTGATTGTAAAACTTTTTTCAGACCAAAAAAGCAAAGAAAAAGGACAAAAATGAAAAATTACCACTAACTCTGTGCCATGTGGTGGGCTCTAGAACTTCCCTTATTTACGTACAGTATTTACTGAGTGAATGTCTGTAGAACTTTCTCTTACCAAAAGTCAAAATCATGAGGCTGTGTGGTTCCATGTGTGTTCTATGTATATTAAATAGGCCACCTACTGTATTTTAAAAATCAATTAAATCAGTTTAGGGCAGACTGAACACATTTCTGTTTGCTAAACCTCTGGGCAAAAAAAACCCCTCATGTACAGTTAATGCACTGAACGGTGTAAATCCTGATTACCTGAAGGATCTATGCATGAGTATAATCCAGATCTTTCCTCTTAAACCCTGCAGAGTCAGAATGGCTGAATTAGCAGGTCTCAGATTGTTTCCAGTCAATGTGGAAAAGTGCCTTCTTTAAATCTTAATGTGATGATCAGTTTGGATCAACAGGAAGTGACAGCAGATGAAAATGAAGGATAAGGCAAATCTGATATTGGATACTTATCACCTTGATAATAGCTGAGTTTACTTGTGAGGGGAAGTTAATTTTTTTTTTTGCCTTTTGGATGCATTTGAAAGATAAATTGGACCTTGAGGTCCAATTTATTTGTACAGTATTTTGTTTGTATGTTGTCCAGGTCTCAGCCATATAGTAGAATAGGGTGTGGTTACTGTGAGCTGAGAGCAATTTGGGGGTAAATAATGTATAATCCCTGCTTCAAATTAAATAAGAATATATAAACTGGAAATAAAATGATGAGTTTAGTTCATTCTGTGACAGTTTATGTACATAGGGTAGTCGCTTTTTCTACTATGAATTTAATTGACAGAGGCTGAAAAACTGCATTTGGAAAAGATGGGAAGATGATTACAAAATGTTTACATCTCCTGCCTTGTAACTGTCTTCTGTTTCACTGAGCAAGATTTATGCAAAGTGTGTCATTTAACGTCTGAGAGGAAAAAAATTGAAAGCTCATAACATTACATAAATTGAAACAGAGTAGAGTATTCAGGACACTTGTTGTTAAACATAAGAACGACGCTATGGGAATATTAATGCTGCCTTTTCCTGTAAAAACTAATCTCAATAAATATTCCATATGCTTTGATTTGAATGTCTGAATGGTTTGGAACGCTGGGCATGATTCTAGCAATCTGTGGAAAATTATTGTCAACTTCATACTACAAAGTCATAAATGAACCTTAATATCTGCAAGGTAGCAGCAGTGTTTTGAACAGTTTTGATTTCCTAATGTTTTTGTTTTTCACATATCCCAACGTGATCTCCATGAGAAGCTTGGGGTCAGAGCGCAGGGTCAGTCATTTTTCTGGCAGCCCTGGAGCAGTTAAGGGTTAAGGGTCTTGCTCAGGAGCCCAACAGAGTAGGATTCCTCTCCTGGGCGCGGGATACGAACCTGCAACCTTCCAGCCACAGAGCCACTGCACCACCCCATACTTTGAACCAAATACAGAATAGTTAACTAAAGCACAGATTCAGTACAGAAACTCATCTTGCACAATAAAAATGTAATATCTAGTAAAACTGGAAAATAATTATACAAAACATGATGGAACATTTTCAATGTTTGTGTATTTGAAAGATATATACAGTACATTATTACCTCACTCAATAAATAAGGCATTGTTGTTTTATTTTTGACTCTTTAAGATAATTAAACACCTCTGTTGACTGACACACTAATTTGAAAAGTGACAAACTTGGAAATAAATAGAAAACTAATAGTGGCACAGACGAATTATTGGCAGATTTCTTCAGTAGTCAAACACACAGATGGCCAAGGCCAGAATTTAAAAAAGCAGTAAGAAGACAGTCATGCAAATCTGAACTGAAATTTGTTCCTTTTTCTACTTACCTGTTTGGAAGACGTGACTTTTCTTCACTGATTATCCAGAGGTCTGCACAACCAGGGCAACTAATGACATACAGTAAATACTTAACACCTTCAATTGTGTTGTTTTAGTAATCTGCTGTAAATGATCGCTTCTGTCCATTTGCTCTGTCTAGAAGTAGAGGGAGCACAGACATATGTTTCAGTTGTGTAGCAAGCCAAAGTTGGTGTTAAATTCTCTGCCAATTTTGTCACTTTTGCTTATAGTTAGCAGGTTGGACAGCCTAAAACTTGAGGTCCCAACCTCCTGCAGTACAAGTGGATCGCTTTACAAGATAAGACACTGCCAGGCTGATATTTTGTGATTTCCTTCCACCCAGATCCAGTGTCTATCTTGTAGAGACGAACATAGAATGCTGAACCTCTAAGCCTAGGAACAATAAAACAGTCTAAATGATCACCATTTCACTGTATGCTCAAAAATTAGGGAGCACAATGGTACAGTGATAGGTCCACAACCTCTGGCAGCATAGGTTTTAATTTGGTGTACGCTGCTAGATCAAGCTCAGCATGTGTAGTGAAGGTAGTAATTCCAAACATGAAACGTCCTGGATACACAACTGAGAGGACATGAGACATACTGTCCTTACCAAGTCTGACACTCTTGTTTAATAGTTCACCATACATATGTACTGTAATTTCAACTTAACTTTCTTCTTGCTATTTCTTCTATTTCTTTTCTTTGCACAAACCATCCCACAAATATTTCCATCTGGCAGCTCAGTATTGTTTTAACTGCCCACAGACATTTTTCATCTTTCAATACACCCTCAGAAGAAAATTGAAAAACTTAACTAATGCCATCATGATGACTTTCATGGAGTCCATAATGTTTTCATAACATGGTAGATGACAGAATACTCTGAGCAAAACTGTATGATTCTGGTGTAAACAAATACAATATATATTTAATAAAATTATTATAAAATACATTATATCAAATAAAATTGTATAAAAATAAAAAAGTATTTAAATAAAATGATTATCTCTTCCTCTCTTTCAAAAAGATGTATTTCTCCTACACAGTTTCCAGGTTTTTTTAAGCCTTGAACAGATCTTGTTTTTCAGGCCATCACTAAATTAGGAGCAACTGAGTCACAATAATGCAATTGACTCATGAGAGGATGAGCCATAACAGCTTAAGTATATGACAAACAATCCTATTGAAGTTATACCTAGAGCATCCTGTGACAGGTGCCAAGTGGTGGCACCTGTCACTGGGACATTTTCAGTTTCCACACACTCTTGACCCCGAGACTAACTGGGCATCTGTGAACTTGCAATTGGATCTAATTCTATTGTATGACACTGTGGAGCAGTAGTGTGTTGAACAGTTTTGCTTCTCCTCAATGCAGGTTTAGGGATTATAGGAGTGGGCTGAGATTATCATGAATTTGGTTCTTCCAAATTCTGACAGTATATAACTGAACAACCGTTGGTGGTGCAAATACGTTTTAAGGAAACATTACATTTTCCAAATCATGCCTCACTTTTTGTATTATGGTATTAACATATCACAGTTTAAAGTTCATAGTTTTGATAAGAAGAACGTCTTGCTATATTCTGTTTTGCCTTTTGGTTTTATAACCCTGAAACAGGAAGTTCCACGTAAAATCCAAAAACAAGCACTATATTTTAGGAAATATTCTTACAAAATTAAATAAACTGAAGGTTGTAGTATTATTTAATTGAATAGATGAAAATCATTCAATGCCCAAGTGAAAGTCTCCACTCAGTACTTCCCAATGGAAGACAATTCCTCTCCCAGTTCGACCTCATTAATGATGACAGTGTGAGTGTGCAGTGCAAGCTAGTTTTTCTATTAACCCCCCCATACCTCTAAACTGTGCTTGACCGTCTGAGATGTTTGACTTTGAGGCTGTATATATATATATCAGAAACCCAGCAGCTGCTTTTGAGCAGTCCCAGAGATCAAACTATGGAGAAAAAAAGTCTCTTGCTTTTTTTAATAGATAATTAAACTCATAAATCAAGCAAGACCACCTGAACTGAATCACAAAAGGAGGTCAGTAAAGAAGGAGCAGAATAATAAAAGGAACAGTAAATTATCTGCCTTGGGTTAAAAAAAAATCTCTGTATGCGGTCAATGATATTGAAGCAATTCTTAAATGAATGCCATAACTAATTTTAAGTAAATGAAAATAGTCTCAGAGTATGAAGTGGGCCAGATACAGTACAACTACATCTCTTTTCTGTGTTTTATTCAACTTTTTTTATGAAGTCTAAGAACCATAGCTTCTCTTCTAACTCTTCTTCGGCTAAGTTCTAACTTACTTCACTCTTAATTGTACTCATTAGCTTAATTCTAACGCTTCTGTCTGTTCATAAAAAAATTACCTATTAGTAACCCATGAGTCTTCTAAAGTGCAGCGCATTTACCATTCTGTGCCATCAGCGCACTTTATGACTTACATTTGTAACTTCCGATCCAGGGGGAAGAGTGGCACTTATTAGAGGATATTGCAAAGCTGAAAAGTTGTGACATAAAACATCCATATTTAAAACTGCTGACAGCTCCACTGTTCTGTAACAGAGTAATGCATTTTTGTTTTGAGGTACACACCTTAAGTAACTGAGAGCTCTGCTGGAATAAAAACCAGGAGACCTTGCAGATTTTTCAGAAATGTACAGCAGTATCTGAATTTTATTGTCTGTCTTACAAAATAGTTTGACCTGTCATTTTGAAATTTAATTAAATTTAATTATTTAATTAATTGGGTTTGAAATAATCTTAGACCTGCACAGTAAGGTGCTAACCACTTAACCCATTACTAAGTATTATTTCTTGTTCCAATTATAACAATTATAACTAAATGACACTAGAACAAATGCACACAATTACCAAGCATGTCGCTGAATTACTGGTTCATACTGTACATTCTTTCTTATGTGAAAGGTAATTCTTAGTACATCTCAGTACATCAGCAGAAGAACAAGCAGATTGATTTCAACTCACCTCAACTGCTATTCACATTCACACAAACAGAAGAGCTTACATTTATATTTTACATAATTTCTCACCATTTTTATTAATAGCAATTCATTTCTCCAATCCAGAAATGGTCTTAATTCCAATGTTAAACTTAATGTTGCAGGTACTGAACAGTCAGACACATACAGCATATCATTGAGTATTAAACTTTGGTTTTGGTATTAAACCAAAACAGTAGGATTACACAACAAACACACTGTAGTTTCCATGCCAGAAAACATTACTGACCAGGTTGAAATTTCTACAAGCTGCTGCCAACATCTTTATTCCTGACCTTGAGAAAACTAGGAGGCCAACATCTTCTATATGCTGTTGCTTTATTTTGAAAACACATTTTGTCATTCTAATACTGTTCGGTATTGTTATTGACCCAAAATAAAACACTTTCAATTTTTTCCAGCTTGAAGTGGAGAGGGCTCTATAAGTTCATCTATTGCATTTTGTTTTTCATGAAAAAAATGAAATCAATCCTCGGACTCTATATAAGGCTCAATACAAAACAATACTAAATTATATACACTGAAAATACAGTATGCTTTATTTGGTGCCAGAGGGTCTTCTGATTTCTTCTTTGATAGCTTGAACTTCACGCAGTGCAAAATACATTCTGTAACCGTATTTCTGAATGTACAGGACCAGCCAATGGTCTGCACTATTGCCATTATTCTAATTATTAATATAGTTTTAAAATGATATCTTTCCCCAAGTCAGCACCCTAACCTCAAGGCTTTCCTTATTTGCAGGTGTAGATGTCATAGTACAGGAGACAACTTAATTCATCATTGACAGCAATACATTTTTGAAGAGGAGACAATCAGCTGTTCAAGAGTGTGGAACCAAGATAATAGTAAAGCAGAGATGAAAAAGAAGACAAACCATGCATATTGTCCCCAGTTTCTCTACTTGTTGTTAAAAATTAGGAGAAAGTACTGATAAAGGTATTCAGAGAAAACCATGAAAACTCTGTTGTTAATGTTAATGTTGATTTATCAAGGAAAACACACAGCTTCTTCATAAAAGAAGACATAATGGGCTGTTATCACACTTTCCTAACAATTTCCTAACCAGTCTTTGCTGTGCATTACAAAACAGGAAATGGATATCTTTCTTTTAACAATATAAGTGAATCTAGACCTTACAATGATGAATTAGGAGCAATATTGTTCACTTGCCCAACATCTTTGTACACAATGTTTTTCCAAATTTCTGGTTGGTCCTGTAAATTCCAATGTTAACAATAGTTTGTGTATGAAGTCTTCTGATGAATCGAACATCCACACACACAATACCTTGTGTCTATATAACTTTCAGTACGAAGAGCATCTTTTCTTTTTGAAGTGGTTCGTCATCATTTATGTCATGGGATTCAGTGTATTGGCACAAGATCATGAGAGAGTGAATGGAAGCAAGTTGTATGATGTTTCATGGAAGCATACCAGGCTCAAAACAAAGTTAACATAACTTTTAGAACATGAATACATACAGTATAGTAACTCAATCCACATGTCTGTGAGCTGGAAAGTTCAGACTTTTACTCACCAGTATCCTGCAATAAACTCAGATTGTGAAGCACCACAACATTCAGAAGTAATTTTTGATGCTGTTTATTTTGAGTGACAGTTACATTTTGTAGGTACAGTATATGTCACCTTACAGCAAAACAAATCCAGTCTTAAGCAAAAAAAACCCAATGTTTTTCCCATTCAGTGTCACACTGCAAATTCAGTGCTATAGCAGAGGATGTTTGAAATGGAATTACAAGACAAGAAAATACATATGTGAACAATAGCTGCATTACCCTGTATACTGTATATCAATATGTTTCTGTTGTTTTGAGGTTTTGAGGTACAAGATCATGGTGTAGAATTCTGAGGTATTCTGACTTGCCAAAATGCACAGAATTACAGATTCTTGAGAGAGGACATTAAAGGAAAGGTTTCTATATAAAACACTTAAAAGAAAATGAATACTTTTATATCAGAACACTCGGTTGTCTGTCATTAGATGGACCTTAACACTTAAACACGATATCGGTTCTATATGGTTTTACTAAATGTGTGGAACTGCTAGGCATAACAAAGACTGTACTGTTATTTCCCAGATTCCAGTTCTATAAAAAGTATATACCCTGACAGTGGATTAAGTGATGTATTAAGGATAATACAGTACATTCTTTCCCAGACAATAGACAAGACTGTATGAGAAAGCATGCCAACTATTTATCAGTCCAGCTATATTGTATTATTCCATGATAATTTTCAAAATCATTTTCTTACAGTTTTTTTTTACTGTAATGTTTTGGCTGTAATGTGCTGAGCCTAGAGGTGAATGGGTCTGCAGAAAAGCTGCTTAGCTATTCACAGTATCGAAGGAATTAATACATTGGAGAACTTTGGGAAACTACTGTATGCCAGCTGATCTCAGAAGAAAAAGAAAAGGCTGCCGGGCAATTCTGAAAGGAGCTGACATTCAGAGCCGTCCATTTTCTTCAAACTCAGCACATACTGCAAGAAGCCAAGGGCATTTGTTTAATAAGAAATTAGGAACATATAGGTCAGAATACAGGGGACACTTCTCACACTGTCTATAAAAACCCCTCATAAGACATGCTCTATGTACTAATAGTTAAGATCCTCCAAGATGTACAGTAGCTAAGTGAAGCCCCTGAATCAATCAGCCACAAGGTGGCCAGAGAGCACTCACAGTTTGAGCAGCCTCTTGCTGTTCTTAACTATTAAAATGTGGTACAATAAACAGCTTTTATGCTGACACTATATCAAGGTCAAAGTGGATCTTAAAGAAATACTGTAGCACTGTATATGTTGGTTTTGCATATAAAGCACAAGGCACATACACAGCATATCTCTGAAAGATTCTAAACTGTTGTATGAAAACCAGCCAGTTCTAACGGGTTTTTTGGGATGTTACTTTCAAATTCTGTTATACACTTATGAATCATAAATTGTGGATACAAAAATTATCTAAGAAGATTTTTCTGAAAGTAGTCAGTAATTATGGGGCAGCTGACATTCTAAGTGGTCCTTACCTTTGCAGGAATTACTTTTAATGCACATCTTTCCAACAGTAATTAACTGACCCTCATATTTCAAATCATGCATGGGCATCTCACTCTCTCCATTAATTAGAGTATAAAGAGTCAGTTGCATTGAGACCATAATGTGCCATAATTTTTGTTATGTGAAGTTGACCTGACAAGGAAAAAAGTGCAAAGGAATCAAATAGCAGCTACATTTCTATATCATGACCTGTTGCCTAAAAGGGTCAAGGAAAATGCAGGTTAAGAAGTTTCTGAGTTGGTTGTGATTTAGTGCTGTATCATTAGTTAAGGCTGGTTTGTCATTCAGGAGTTGGGTTTTATTAGAGGGCATAACTTTATTCTAACAAGATGTGAATGTATAATTTAGCCTTGATTTTCTTGCACTAGCGATTCACTCTCCTTCTGTGAAAAATCAATAAAGGTTTTTATAATGTTACATCATTGTAAGAGTTAATTTAATAGGACTATTTGTTTTTTTAGCCATCTGTTCCTACTACAGTATGTGATGCTGTGCCAAAAGACTCACAGCAATTGGGTCAGATATAATCCAGAAATGCTGAAATGATCATGGAAATTACTGCTAGTTACTGGGATGTATTCTCTGCAGTTGGAAGACTTGCTACTTGAGTATAACATTTTTTATTAAGTGAATCGGTATGATAATATGAGGTATTGGAGACTTGATTAATATGAGTTAACTACTAAAGTTTATAGATAATGTTTATCTTCAATACTACATTTCAGCAATTAATCTCTGAGGGATCACCCTGTTTATTAAGTCTTAAAACCTTCATGTCTTAACTTCTTAGGATTTTAGGGAGTTGCCTTTCTAGCAGTTTTTCATTTTAGTACAATGTGGCGGTAAGAATCATGAATTAAACATCACAACAAAAACACAATACGCAGAGACTGATAAATACACATTTTCTGGCACTGAAGATTCCCTTTAGTTTTGATATGATCTAACATTTGTAAAAGTGAAAACATATTAAACTAGTCAATAATTTAATGGTCATTGTATGTTGATATTTTACACTACTGCTATAGTCAGGGGATTGTTTAGAGTTTAGGTTTATGTTAATGTAAGAAAGAACAAAACATTCTTTTGACAAAATACTTGCATGTTTCAAGTAATGAGTTCACTAATCTTTAACACTAAAAGGCTTTCACAGTTGTGCCATGAGCAAGATTGTGCTGAACAGATTTATAAGTGTAAATTTAATTAATTTAGGGAGATAGACTGTTGCTTAAATATGTCAGTGCCAGATTTCTGCACTATAATCTGAAGCTCACAACAGAATGACTCAAAATCACATGAAACCTATAAATGTACACTATTATTTATTCTGCACCTAGTCTAATTTGTCTAAAATGAAAGAATCTATGTAACATTTATATGTCTTAACTTCTATGTCCTGGATCCTTGTTCTTCATGGTTGCTCAGCTGTCAGTAGGAAATGTCTTCATTGGCCAAGACGATTGCTGTTCTGCATGGAATGTACACCTAGAGAATGGGAAAAAAATATTCAGAATTTCTTCGCAATCTGTTACATACTTTACTAGCATTAGTAAGATTTCACATCCATGAAATGAAAGATTGTAATAGTTAAACATCTCTGTGGGCTGCAGAAGGAAAAAAAAAGGTGTTTCAGCAGATCTGATTAATAATAGCTATTAAGAAGCAATTCAAGAATACTTGCGCCACAACGGTGGGAGAAAGTTTTATTGAAAAATGCAACATATTAAACCTCAAAATGGAACAACACTTGAGAAAGGTAAGCATTTGTTTTAATAACTGTAGACTGACAGTTAATGCAGTTTCAACAATAAAATGAGAAAACACACTCTTAGATAGTTGAATACTTATAGAACATGGAGCATAACCATCGCTTGGAAAAGGAAAAATAAATTGCAGCACAACGCATTTAAGAAATGCTTTCATGAATAAGTCACACGTTTCTTAACAGGAAAACAAAACAGAGCTGGCGCCCGCCAAACAGTGAGTCCAAATGATTTCCACAGGGACTCTCGAGGTAACTTTGTAGGCCTACAATAACAGCAAGTTTTCATGAGCACACTTCATCTTTCCCGTGTCAGCCAGGATTTTACACACAGGCAGGCTGATATTTAATATAAGCGGTACGCAATCCCACTAACGGTGCTGTAATAACAACAACTTTCATTTTATGTAGCCCTTGTTCATCACGAGCAAGAAACTTAGAGGCTTCCTTACCAGACCCCAGAGGAATAAGCAGTCATGGCCTTACACCCATAGTGTGACAGTAGTCATTCTACATGAGTGCTCCACACAACAGGTAAACAAACCATGGGAAATGTTACAAGAGACCCACCAAATGAATGAGTCAGAATATGCTGGTTGGTGTATGGTCTTTGTAAAGTAATTTACAGTGTTAAGGGGTGGTATGGTAGAACAGTGGTTACAATGCAGGGCTTGGGGTGCAAGATGTGTGGTGTTTGTATGTGTTCCCTGCGCTTGTGTGGGTTTCATCCCACAGACCAAAACCATACTGGTAGGTTCACTGGCTTCTGAGAAATTTGGCCCTACAGTACTGTAGGTGGGAGTGTGTGTGTGTCTGTGTTTGCGTCTCTGTGTGCCTTGCAATGCACCCTGCTTTGTGTCGATTGCTTGCCATGATAGGCTGTGGCTTCACCGCGACCCTGAATTGGAAAGTTCAATTAGAAAATGGATGGATGGATGGACAGACAGTATCAGGGGACACTGTGGCTTTAAATAATCTACAGCTAAGGAAATAATCCTGTGCAACTGCACTTCCACAATTATACATTGTATTGTACTGTATATGTACACTCTGAAAATACTTTTAAACAATTCCACTGAAGATCAACAGGATAGATCCTATGCGGCTTTCACAGAAAAAGAACAAAAACCTTATGCTACACCTTCTATCTTCTTTCTTTAATGATGTATTGATTTATTGAGAATAGTGTGGATAGTGTGCAAAATGTATCTAGATGCAAGGAAGAAGATAAATGGGCAACATAATGATTGGGTGGTGCATCATGTATTGTGTTTTCAACCCACAGAAAAAAAGCACATATGAACCACACAGGATTGTTTCGTGGTTCACAATGGAAACACAATGGAAAAATCAACCGATATATTATGTTCTGTCAGTATAAAAAAAAAACAGGAAAACATTGCATTTCTAGAAAATAACATCCATTTGAACAGGTGATATTAGCCAACACAATATGAGCATGTATTTTAATAGGATGCAGTTGAGGATTACAATTACTGTAAGTCATGTGAAACATGCAGAAAACTGATGTATAAATATACAGTATACTGAACACAGGTGATAATTTTTCTACATTCACCTAGCCTTATGGATTGCAATGAGTCAAGAACATAATTCATTGTTGTGCTGCAGCCTTTATTTGTATTCAGGCTTGCAAATTCTTTAATATTGCAGGATCCTTCCTAAAATGATCAAGCAAAGATCTGCACATTCTCAGAACGGCCACTAGATGTACCTACAGTATAATAACTTGCTATTAGAAAGGAACTCCAGAAAGAGAGCTGTAAGTCAGGAAGGAGCCAGAAGGATCAAATATGTTTTGATAAACGACAAACTATGCATGCTGTACAAAGCCATTATTATGCTTTGAATTCATCTACTGTAAAAAGCAATATATCGTTTTGTTTCAGTCTCTTAGACAGCCATGCAGGATCTCTCTGTTCCCTGATGAAAGTTTCTCTGAGACATGCAAGAAAAAAAGAAAAGATTTCCTAGAATTTACCAAAGGCTTTGCTCATTCCTGGGAGACTGCAAGCTCGTAATCATTAAATCAGAGCTCATCGGGGTTTTTATTTCAGGCAATGAAATGGTAACTTGGGATTTGGATGATGAAATTCAGCCTTTTCTTTCAAACATGAAAATGAAACCACTCTTGTACAAAAGCAAATACTTCTCTAATGCTAAGGTATGTGTTGGTTCTGAGATGCCCAATTACAGATGTAAACTTTATAAAAATGTAATGAATACTGCATGTTCCTATTTTATGCGACCAAGTCGTGAGAAGAATATGATCAATTGAAATACACTAATAATTGGTAGGTAAAGTGCCAAGTGAAAAATCAATAGTTTGGACAACATACTAAATGTACATTTCTGTGGTCTTACTGATGGCCTTTAATTATGGCCATTATTTGTATGAATAAATAACATGTTACATTTACACATACAGAAGCTTTCTATGAATATACACTTAACATAAGGATAACAGAAGAAAATTCATTACAGACCCATTATCCTCTCTTATACTGTACTACAGCACACTTTTTCTATTTTATTAATAATGTATGTGATTTTTATTTGCACTGTGTGTGTATCTGCCTTCTATTTGTTTTCTTTCACATCCCTTCAAACATGTATACGTATGAGAGATTAGGACAAGTAACTGGCTGCAGTGGTGGAAGCAAAAAAAAAATTGCTACGATTAAAAGATTATCCATGAGAACTGTAGAGCTTCAGGCTTCTGTACAAATAATGCATTAGATAATGAACTAAATGTAAATATATATTCAACTCCATGTCTGTCTTTGCAAATTTACTCAGAATTCGATAGCTTTGAACTAACTCTATAATTCAGTCATACAGAGCATTATTGTGCTAACTCTAGCTTTGAGTGGCTTAATGGCCAAGCAATGTGAGGATCAAATTCGGCTTTAACCTAATGGGATGAGTGAACGATAGCTTGTCCTTGAGAATGAGGCTACTGGAAGCCTTTCAGTGCGTGGAATGAATCACTGAGATAGGAACGGATGTTAAATGAGGAATGCTGGGAAAGGGGTTATCCATATTAATACTTTGCCTGGCTTGGTCAACAGTTAGATCTACTTTTATAACGCCTGTTCAGAACGCTAATAGTACAACAACCATAAAATATCTGGCAAATTCTGTTGGCCTACATGCAGAAGCTGCTCAAAGAATGGTATCCTGCTTATATCCGTGCGATGGCTTCTATAGCAAATTGTTGACACACTTATGTTATTTATCTCCAGAGAAAGACATTGTCCTTCTCTTCTCCAAATGTAAGAAAGTGAATGAGGACAACCTATCCTCCTGTACTGGTTAAGGTACATAGTTGCTAAATTACCAAAGGCTAAATTACCTGGGGAATAAAGTAGATAGCTAAAAGGTCTTTAAAACTACTGTACTGAGGCCATGTTTTCATTTAAGGTACTACGGACACAGGTTATGATACTCAAGCTGAAGGGCATGTTTTATACTTGGAGAAAACACAGCTTCAGTTCATTGATACTTATACATTCCTTCTGTAAGATACTTTATTCTAACATACATCCATTTTCTAACTGCATCTTCCAGTTCAGGGTCGAGAGGGAGCTAGACCCTATCCCAGCACTCAATGGAGCAAGACAGGGCAGACACACAAACACAGACACAGACATGCACACACTCACACCCACGACCAGTTTTCTCAGATGCCAAACCAGAAGCAAAACCAAGAACATGCATACTGCAAAATTATAATGCACTCTTGCTGTGGCTTTTGGATGTGTATTCTGAGGCTTCTGTTTCAATTGAAAGGATACAGACCCACTGAGACTTCAATATTCAACCAGAGATTTATCACATACTGTAGGTACTCCTGGAGTCCATTCGTATGATCTTAATCTGGATGGAGAGATGAATGTTCAAATTCATAACCCACCAATGTGAGCATTTCAATGATTCATTTTTGAAGATAGAATATAAAACTGTTACTGTTACATAATTTCAAAACACATCCTTAAATCAAATGGAATCCATATTCAACCGTGAAGAACTATGAATAAACTGAAGCTCTTTTATGACTAAGTACCTGTAGGTCATTTTAAATCAATGAATTCTGTATGTGGACAAAGCCTGATGAAATCTCCAATACTTGTATAAACCTCTTAACACATGGTAGGCAAAATGTTTGTTTTCCCCAGTATTCACTTTTGGTTGTCCCCAGCACCACCACAAGTCAACACCATTTAAACAACAGCAAAAAGAAAATGCAAAGAACCACATATTTTTATACTGTACCATCTAAAATGTTTGTTTCAGTGTGAAGTCATACAACATTCACTACAAAATGGCCTAAAATACCAATAATGTAATGGGTAAGATGAGTATTGAAAGTATGACTTTGTTACATTAATCACTGAAACCTGTAAATTTGAAACCAAGTGCCTATACAGTAAAGTGCACAGTTACTATAGTTTATACAGTATATACAATGTGATGAATACTGATATATTAGATGCCGGCCCACAACTCTGTCACAGGGAAAATTCAAACTTCTCAGTTTTAAATAAAATTCAGTTTATGTCGTGGGTGGATCTCAGTAAGCAATGAGAACAAAATGGGTACACCTTGGACAGGAAGCTAGCCCATCGCAGACACAAACACAAACATGCACACACTCACACCACCATGTCTTTGAACTGTGGGAGGAAATCCATGCAAACAC